TCCCCCCTCCCAATCTCCCCAATTCTTCAACCCCTCTTTGCCTCACCTGTTCATCATTTCTCTCACCCATTTCCTCTTGATTTCCATCTAAGAAAAAAGGGGTCAAATTCAAGAAACTGAAAATAAATTTGCCAGGATCACAGATCTGCAGAAGGTGTTGAAGAAGATCAGAGAATTAAGTGGGCATATGAGCAAGAAGAAGATGGGTTTTTTCTTGCAGCAGTTAAAGTCTTCTTTTTATAATTTCTCTCCTCCTCAGATCATCAAAAGGAATAGTGTGTATGTACATCTTTGAACAATTACTCTGCTTTTTAATTCTTTTTTTTCTCCCACATTATATTGAATATTATTACTAGTTCAATTTTGATTTTGTGCATATATATTGTTTCTGAAAACTAGTTATAGCCCTTGAAGTTGAAGCCTCTTTTTGGAACTGTGTTTATGGACTCTTGAAGTTAAGGCCTCTTCTTGGAACTGTTTATTTATTGAATGATTAGCTTTTTTTTATAGATAAAAGGCATGTTTGGGAATAGCTTTAGCGATTAGAGTTAGCGTTTTCAAAAGGCTATCTACGGGTAGCTTTTAGCGTTAGCGTTTTCAAATTAATCTGCACCGTTAAAATTTTATCCAAAACGCTGATCGCTAACACTATTCCCAAACAGGCCCAAATATTACAGTATGAATTTCATGTATTTTTCCTGAATAAATATAAAAAATTTACTCCCTTTCTCTTCTCACTTTTTATTTTCTTACTAGGAGTAAAAGAAGGGAAAACACCAAGATGGGAATTTTTGATTTTTATTTCAAAAAATAAGAGTATAATGCCAATAATACCAATACATAATACCAAAAATTTCAGTGGATGCCTATTTACATGTGATTTTCTAAATTCAATCCTCAATTCTAATATATTACATAAATAGTCATTAATTTTTAAAATATCTCATAAATAGTCATTTAGACTAAATATGACAAAAAATCACAATAATCTCTGAAATAACGATTATAGAATAACAAAGGTCTCGTTCTATTCAGCTTATTTTTATTACTTATTGTTTATTCTTATCAGAAATAGATTAGATGAGATTAATTTAGATCAGATCACGTCCATTTAGATTGGAAAATTATTTAAAAAATAAATAATTTAAAAATAGTAATAAGAAAAGTACAGTAATAATGATGTAAATAATAAAAATGATCATTGTTATTATTAAATAAAAATAATAATAACCAAAATAATAATAATAACAATAATAGTGATTAATATTATTATCATTATTAATTAAAAATAATAATAGTTAATAGTAATTCAGAATAATAATCATTGATCATCAACGTACTTAAATAATAACTGTAATAGTAATTAATAATGATGATTTAAATGATAATAATCATTATTATTATGAACTAATAATAATTAATAATAATGATGATAACAATTAATAATAATATTTATTTGTAAATATATCATAAAACAATAATTATTTTTAATTAATAATAATATACCTTAAAATTAGTTATTGTTTATGTTATAATTATAATTAGCAATGATTATAATCATCATTAATGATACACGTAAAAACAATATTAATAATAATAGTTTTTTATATTAATATTAAATATAGGTACTAAAATAATAAGCATAATAATAATGATTAATAATTAAAAATATAATTATTAATAATAAAATTTTTTATGGTAAACATTATTAAATATTACTATTAATAATAATTAATAACAAATTATTATTATTTATATAATACTTGTAATAATTATTACTCAAATTATTTAAATTTGAATTAAATCCATTAATATATGATCAGATCAGATCCATTTAGATCTGGTCTAATCAGATTCATTGAGATCAGTTTTAAAAAATTGAGCTTAGATCATATAAGATCAGTTGAAGAGAACGCAGCCTAAGACCCTGTTCTTTTGGGTTGAAAAAATTACTTCTGAGTTTTTCTAACTCCTTGTAATTTCTTTTTTAACTTCTTCCAGTTTTTTTATAACAATGATGTAAAAAATGTATATATGTATGATGACTATACAATAACATTATATATACAAATTTATAACATATCACATCAAACACGAATAAGAATGAATTCTTTATTATCAAAAATTAAAGTTTTCTTATATATTTATTTGGTGATCATTTAATTGAGTGATTTTTTAATACTTTAGTTCTTCCAAGATCATTTTTTCCAACTCATTGTTCTTTCCCATTTCTTTTAGTTTTTTCCAATTTCTTCCTTCCAGTTTCTTCTAACATCCTCTAAAATTCTAACCAAAAAGAACATGGCATAAATATGAAAAATTACTTATAATTAGAGATTATTTATAAAATTTATTCTAAATTTAATGTTTCGTATTTTTTGAAACATTTTTTCATTGCATTAGACGTGCGAGTGTGAGTGCATATAGATGAGTAAAAAACAACATTATTAAAAGAGAGAAGGTGCAGGTAGACGCGACAATGACATTGGTTTTGGTTTGGATTTATTCAATTTAAATATCTTTCGAATATATATTATAATCAGTTCGGTTCAGATTTAACTTTATTCCATGCAAATTCTGATTTCAGTAATTCAGTTTAGTTTTGGGTCGATTCAATTAGTATTTTTGCACCCCTAATTTAGGTTTTGTTGTAAGTCATCATCTAAAATAGGAGTTTTTTCTAAAATTAATTTTTACTTATTGAATACTCAGAATGATGGTTTGTAAAATGGGCCTGTAACTTAAGCCATGTGTAATCGCTGATAAAAATACCCTTTATAATGGGCCTGTCACTTAAATAGTTAAATATGATGAATTTGATCTAAAAGTAGCAGAAAAATAAACAAAATGTTGTTTGCTGTAAGAATATTAACAAAGCCCATTTGTTTACAAGGCCCAATTATGCCATCTTTCTTTTTAGACATTCTGAGTATCCAATAGTTAATGTATTTTTATACTACCTCCGTCTCACAAAAAAGTTCCCATTTTGACCATAAATTGGTCAAACTATTGCACACTTTGATCATAAATTAAATATAATCTAATTAAAGAAATGCTAAAAAAATTTGAGATATCAAAACTAGATCGTAAGATGAATCCAATTATATAAAATTTATTTCATAATTCAATATACTTTTCTCACAATTTGTAGTCAAAGCGTATAAATATTCGACTAAATACTATTCAAAATGGGAACTTTTTGTGGAACGGAGGGAGTATTAAGTAATAAATTTATTTGTCCGAGCCCATCTAGAGTAACATACGAGCTAGGGGTGAGCAAGTACCGAACCGATACCGAAATTTTTCGAAAAAACCGAGATTACCGAACCAAAAAATACCGAACCGAAAAAATACCGAGAAGGAACCGAACCATACCGAACCGAATGGTCGGTACGGTATTTGGGAACGGTACGAGGGGACGTCCCATACCGAAAATCCTGAACCGAACATATATATACTAAAATATTATAAAAAATAATATTCCAGAGTAATATTTTTATATTCCTTCACTAAATAATACTCCGAGTAATTTTATAAAAAAAATGGTTCAAGTAAGTTTTTGTGTATGAAATAAAAGTATTCACAACGATTTGAAATACTCCTTTATTGTCGTTTATTTTTTTTAATTTGTGAAATATAAACTAAGTTTTGACACGCATCTCTTGCATTTAAATATTTAATTTTCATGTTTTTTAAATTCACTTTTTAATTTTCAAAAATAAAGGGGCATTGTTTAATTTTAACGTGTAAAGTAGGTATGTATATTCATCCCAATTTGTACCGAAACCGATACCGAACCATCTCGAACCATACCGAACCGATATTTCGGGATCGGGATCGGTACGGGGTAAAATCCCATACCGAACCGAAATACTTGGTACGGTATCGGTACGAGCTAAATACTGTACCATACCGTACCATGCTCACCCCTAATACGAGCATTAAACATTATTCATCTTTAAGAAAAATCTGGGCTTTTCATAAAAACAAAGCGAGTATTTTTTTTCCCAATATGATTTTAATTAAATATACACCATCAAAGATTAACCTTATTTGATTACAAAAAACCAAAACTTGACACACACTTTAGTACCAAGGTTAAAGAAATAATTTGACAAATTAGAATGGTAAAAATATGATAACATATTCCCTCTGTCCAACAATAGTGTTCTCGTTCACTATTCACAGGATTAAATTTTATTCACTTTGTTGGCGTATTTTCGTTGCCCATTTGATAAAATAATGTACATGTTACCTATAATTTTACAAATCTTTTTTAGTAGTTTTTAAATAATTAATTTTTATTTTTTTAAATCCATACGATTTTCATATAAAATGATTTAAAAATAACTTCAATCAAATATCATAACACATAGAGGGAACATTATTGTTGGACGGAGAGAGTATTATTTTGTTAAAAAAGTGATCTACATTAAATGTGTCTTAATTGTATGAAGAAAGAGGGTTACTCACATTTATTTATTTACAATAGAAAGTGGAAAAATATATGGATTAAGTGGAAAGTTAACGAAAGGAACAACAATGCAATGCTAGCATGACTTGAATGATTATTCGTAGAATTTTTAGAGTTGTAAAAATAACCATTAATAATGCATTAACTTGAAGGACTAACAGTGTTATTTAGCTAAAAAGATGTATCTTTACTTTCTTTTTTTGAGCATTACTTATTCCATTATTGTGTACAATATAGGATCTATTCATATTTACTTTTTCCAAAAAATCTATTGAAACCCTAGTTTCAATTGCTATAGCTACCATTTAAATTTAGTTAAATTAAAATTTTACATCTGGTAGCCCAGATCATGTTCTACTTTACACACACACAGACATACATAGATACATACATACATACATACATATGTGTGTGTCTATATATATATATATATATATATATATATATATATATATATATATATATATATATAAAAGTTAAACGTTTAAATTTAGTATATTTAAATGTATTCGACCTTAATATTTAATTTTAACATTTTGGAATATAATGCATCAATAAAAAATTATTTAATTTATCTTTTCATTTATAGTTGCAAAAAAAAGAAGATGAGGTTGGACCTTCACGAGACTAGTCAATCAAAATACGAGATGGAGAGATAAGTGAACAAATTCCAACAAACAATATCGGGTAATTTAGCTTTACATCAGTGTTGACTGCATTCACTATCTTTGATATAAGTGAAATTTGCACTAAATAGAACTAAAACATAATGATTTTCTCAATGTAGGACTTAAACTTTTTTATTCTCTAAATAGGATTTAATAATGACCTATTGGGAGGAATAATGTCCAGTAATGATGGACATTTACTTGAATAATGACTACTTTATAATGACCAAAGGTCCTACATTGGGAAATAAAAACATATAGTCTTATATTAGGAAAATCATTATATTTTAATCTTATTTATATAAATTTCTCTTGATATAATTGTGACACCACACACTTCTTACGTGCACGTATTTATAAATATGGATCATTCAAAATCAGTAGTCACTTAGCTTTACATACAGGTTGACTGTATTTGTTAGACAATAATACTAATAGTACTTTTTGTAGTATTGGTTATGGTAGTGTTTCATTATTAGTCAGCTTCCTAATCCTATTTGTGATAGATGTTGTATTTTAGTTAGACTTCATTCTTTATTTCTAGTTGTGTTAGGAGTCTCTTATATATATATATATATACTCTATCATGTACTCCATAATTCAATGAGCAATATTATTATTCTAATATTTCAACATGGTATCAGAGCCACCGCTCATGGTGACCTAAAAAAATGTTCTTTACTCCCACCGCCGCCGCCGGTAATTCCGGCTAGAGCTGGCAAATCGGTCGGTCAGGTCGGGTTCGGATTCGGTCACTTCAAGTTCGGGTTATTTCGGATTCGGGTCAATTCGGGTTCGGGTTGAGAACTGTTTGTTCATGACCCAATGTCATCGGGTACGGGTCGACCCAACGGGTTATGACTTTGGTTTTTTAAATTTTTAAATTCACATTAACAATTACATTTTCTATTAAATAAATGTAAAATATCAAAAAAAGTATTAAATCTATAAAATTATTTTATTTTAAACTCTAAAGTAGTTTTTAGATATATAAATCAATATAAGGAATTTAAAAATGCTTAAGTTTTGGAAAAAAATAAGATAATTATGCAATATCATTAAAACTTTGTTTGAAAATATAAATTTATATACTTGTACTAAAAACGAGTAAAAAAAAGTGTATAATTTTGAAAAATTCTTACTTTAGCGGGTCGGTCAGGTCGGGTTCGGTTTCGTTTGGGTTTGACCCATTTTTAGCGGGTCATTTCGGGTTCGGTCAACTTCTGGTTCGGTCATCAAAACCTTTGTTCAAAACCCAGTATTTTCTGATCGGGTTTCAGGTCAAAAACAGGTCGGGTCACTTTTTGCCAGGTCTAATTCCGGCGACGGCGGCTCCACCCTATTCACCTCTATTTTCTTCAGCTTCTCCATTCAAATGAAAAAAAGAAAAAAAAAACTCCGGTTGAAATCACACAAAAAACTATTAAAGGAGGAACTTCTCTCTTGTCATCTACATGGTTAAGTTCTTCAAAAAAAATCCAACTCCTCACAAACTCTCTCAGATCATCCTATCTTCTCAAAAAAAAGAAAAAAAAAGATTGTTGTTTCTCTCTAATTCACCATATCAAAATCTCAGACCCAATTTTTTTTCCATCACCAACCCTTAACCTACTTTTTCTCTCTAAAATCACTCATTCTAATCATCAACCTCCCTTCTCTTTCTCTTCTGTTGAACCAATAAAACTCCAAAGTAAATCAGCACAAAAGCAAAGCCAAGAGGGGAAGTAGTAAAAGAGGAAATAAGACCTCTACAACTCACCCCTTCAAGAAGGAAATAGGGCATTGCCCGGATCTAAGAAAAAGACAAAAAAATGTCAAGGATTTTCAGTGCACCTCCAGTAGCCTTCTCTATTCTTCTTCGACGTCAGCAGCTACAAGCGCACGTCAGACTTCGCTCTTCTCCAACGACGTGAGCAGCTACCGGCGCACGTCAAACTTCTCTCTTTTTTAATGACGTCAGCAGCCACTGGCGTGCGTCAGACTTCTCTCTTCTCTAACGACGTCAACAACCACCGACATGCGTCAGACTTCTCTATTCTCAAAGTTTCCAGTTTCCAGCTAGTGTCCAAGCTTCCTCTTGCTTCAGCCAGAGTTCAGCTTGAGTGGGGATGTTAGACAATAATACTAATAGTACTTCTTGTAGTATTGGTTATGGTAGTGTTTCATTATTAGTCAGCTTCCTAATCCTATTTATGGTAGATGTTATATTTTAGTTAGACTCCATTCTTTATTCCTAGTTGTGTTAGGAGTCTCTCATATATATACTCTATCATGTACTTCATAATTCAATGAGCAATATTATTATTCCAATATTTCAACAGTATTCACCACCTTTGATACAATTGTGACACCACACTTCTTACACATATTTATATTTATAAATATGGCTTCGTCACCAAATTCGCCTATCTCTTGTTGCCTTGCCTATTTTAGAGCCGTTAAACAGCTTGATAAAGTCATTTTATATATAATTTTATCCTCACATTTACATATTTTTTATAATTTTTCTTCTTAATAAGAAGTAATTTTTCTATTAAAAGTCATATATCTATATTTTTGAGTAGTAAAGTTGAATGGGCCAAGAAAAATAAAAATGTTTTATTTCAATAAGAAATTAGTAATATTTTCCTACTGGAATGGAATTGGAAGTTGGAGCAAGAAAGGAAGGTGTTCAGAATAAATTTGGAAGCAAAGCATGAGTTTTGGAGCCGAATGCACGACAGGCGACCAGGCAGGCGGCCGCCTACCAGGCCGCCTGCCGAACATTGGCAAACGGCGAGAGTTGGCTCTGGCGGTGAACTCAAACGCAGGCGGGCAGAGTTGGCTCTGGCGGTCTAGCAGGCGGCCGCCTGCTTGACCGCCTGTCGACGTTCTCGAATCTTCGCCGTTCCAGAAACTTCCCCTCATAGCGGTGGCGGGCTGACAGGCGGCCGCCTGTCTGCCCGCCTGTGGTTCTACACGGGTATAAATACCCCACTCGGCCTTTTGCTTCCACATCACTCAAAATCACTCCAAAACAACTCTAAAAACTTCCACTTTTCCCTTTATTTGAGTTTGAGAGTCCTTCTAAAGATCTTAGAGTCTTGATTTGAAGATTGTGAGCTTTGTATTCAATTCTTCAAGATCTGTAAGCTTTCTTGTAAACTTTCTTTTATTAATAAAATTATCTTCTATACTGATTTGAATTATGAATTAATGGCTTTTAGTGGCTAAATTAATACTTAGGTATGAATTGAATTAAGGGTATGGGCTAAAGATTAGTAATTAAAATTAAGTTAGTAACTTGATTAATTTGATTCACTTGTCTAAAATGAGATTCACTAGATCTGGCCAATTTATTAATTAATCTTTGGAGATTATTTATCTAGCTTGTCTATGAGTTAAGAAAAATAATCTAGCCAACCATATTTAGACACATTAATGAGGCCTGAAAAAATGAATAAGTTAATGATATGAGATCAATTTAATTAAGAAGCTAATTTAATCTAAAATTATTATTTTAGCCCATATACTTGTTCAATTCATACCTGTTCCTAAATTATTGATTGCATTAATCGTTTACTGCTATTGCTTTGAACTTGATTGCTCTAGATTAATTGCCTTAAAGTAGAATATTAAGACAATTAGCAAATACTTCCTTTTGCCAATCCTTGTGAGACGACCCGAGTTAGTCTCGGTCAAATTTATTGACTTACCGCTATATTTTAGCATCGTCAATTGGCGCCGTTGCCGGGGATTGGCACGGTTGTCGTTTGTTAATTAGTTGTTAATAAAAATAATAATAATAATATTCTAATAATAATTAATAAAAAAATAAAATAAAATAAAAATAAATTTTAATTACTTACTTTTTTATGCATACCCGTTCTTCTAGTGTTGGAGAAATTTTACAATTTTGTGAAGATCCTGAAAGGCTTTTGAGATCTAATCGTAATATAAATTTTCAAAGAAATCAAAATCTTTTTCAAAATAATTTAAATAATTCAGAAATGGGGGAGGAGAATAGAGTTAGACGCACTGTTTTGGATACTATGATTCCTGTTTTTGAAGAAAATGACTGTATTGGCACTCCAGCCATTACAGCCGCATCTTTTGAAATAAAACCTGCCATCATACAAATAATTTCTAGTAATCATATTGGTGGGATGAAACATGAAGACCCTAGGGCTCATATTCTCTGGTTTACCCGTACATGTTCTACTTTTAAAATTAATGGGGTAGACAAAGATGCCGTACGGCTTACTCTTTTTCCATTTTCCCTTCGAGATAGAGCTGCACGGTGGTTAAATAATTTTCATGCGGATCATTTTTCTAATTGGGATGATTTACATAAGGCCTTCATGAACGAGTATTTCCCACCCTCGGCAGCTGCTCGAATTCGTATGTCAATCCAGCAGTTTCGCCAAGGTAGTGGAGAATCTCTTCATGAAGCATGGGAACGTTTTAAAGAATTAAGAACTAAATGTCCTCCCACATTGATTGATTCCTTTAGTTTAATGTTCCATTTTTATAATGGCTTAAACATTGATAGTAAAAAGGAACTTGATTATTCTTCTCCGGGTGGTTCTTTCCTTGAGATGACACCCGAAGAAAATGAGGCATTGATCAATAAAGTGACTTCAAATTCTCGTTATTGGTATGATGATCGTGCCCCAGTTTCTTCTTCTCAAGGAAGGACTGAAGTTGATGAAGCAACTGCGCTTAGAGCACAGATTGAGGCATTGAACGTTAAAATTAAAAACCTAGAGAAGAATCAAGTTCCACCATTTAGGGGTAGTGTAAATTCTGTTTCTTACAATTCTTATGCCCCTCATTCACAATCTTCTGAATTGGTCCTTTCTTGCGAAAATTGCATGGGTTCTCACTTAACATCTACTTGTCCTTATGATGATTTTAATTCTCATGATGTTAATCTTATGGAATATGCTCG